GAGGGCTACTCTGAGCCTGGGCCGTGCGCTGCGCTGTCCATTGCTTATACGAACCCGGGGGGCACTGCAGTGCAGGGGCTTTGACACTCCATAGCCACCGCACCGCTGGTTTTGCCCTGTCACTTATGCAAGTAAAATTGCTTGACATAGGCACTTGATCTCTGGGCCTCTTTCATGACACATTCTGCAGGACGCCCCAGTGCTCGAGAGTGGAGAGTTACATGGGTTGGTGGTGCCTGGGCTTAGGAATTTTTCTGTCCTCCCGGGTGCATCGACTGCTCCCACCTGCCACTCCTATATCATTTAAAAGGCCCCCACTGCCACCATTGGCAGCACAGCAGGGCTACAACAGTTTCCAGACTGCTCTCACTCCCTGCATGGCTGCTGGCGCACCCCGGTGGCCCCTGGACAGGGTGTGCGGGGTCTCCACACACTGCCCTGCCCTGAGCACCACTGCAACCTGTTGCAGAAGTGGCGCTTGCAGGCGACAGCGCAGAGTCCTCTCAACCCTCCTGCATAGAAACCACTGCCAAAGGGAGGTACCCCAGATAAACACTGTACCTCTCCCCCTCCCCTGCATCTCCACCTCATCACCTATCACCCTTTCCAGCCCTCAAATTCCCTCCAGAGCCCACATTCTGCACCCCAATCCTGAGAACCCCTAGCCTAGAGCATGCGCCCAGCACCAGTGTTCCCTGGTAACTGTGCACCTGTGCAGCTGCTCAGAAGAGATTAAAATGCTGTCCTTGATTAGCAGAGCACCCACAGCTAGATTCTTTATTTCTACTGGTAATGTACATTTACACATGCCTCGAAGCACATAGCAATGTATTCCGCACATGGATGGAAAAGATTAGTGGGAACATTGCCCAGCACCCAAACTCCCTCCAGCAGCCCTAACCCCTGCCCCAGCTCAGAGCCTGCACCCATCGCCCAACCAGGGCCGGCTTTAGGAAGTGCGGGGCCCAATTTGAACAATTTTGACGGGCGCCGCAGCAGACAGCAATTTTGGTTGAAAAAAAAAAAAAACCAACGCACACAAAAAATCCCCAGCTACCTCCGCCGCCAAACTCCAGAGGTAGTAGCTAACACACACACACCCCGGAGCACAGGGAAACCCTGCGCTTGACTCACACCTCCTGTGGCACAGGCAGCCGCTGCACTCCTCCTCCGGGGCCTATGCCTTCTCCCACAGTGCTCCTGGCACACTTCCGGCTTCAGGGCACGGGGCCCCTTTAGGCACGTGGCCCGATTCGGGGGAATCAGGCAAATCATTCTGAAGCCAGCCCTGCACCCAACCTGTACCCTACAGCCTGCACTCCAGATAACTTCCCACATCCAAACTCTCTCTCAGAGCCTTCACCCCTCCTCTACCCAAATTCTCTCCCAGAGCTTTAAGCAGGTGAGGAAAAGGGACTTGGACCCATGGTAGGCACCACCAAAATTTCTACAAATCATACACTCCTGCAAGACCCTCAAATGATTTGAAAAAATAAACTGAGCAGAAAGCAAATACATGCCCTCCATCCCCAGCTTTCCTCTTAAAAAAAATCTCAGGATTTATAAACCAATCTCAGGCTTTTGTGGGGGGAACTAACTCATGATTTTTCAACACTTGGGGTTGGCAATGGATCCCCTTTCCCGCCCTCCCACATACTTCTCATTTTGCCCTCTGACTCAGTCCCCTGCTGTTAGCATCCCTCTCTTTCTCATTGTTCTTAGTCTGTGTAGGAGCAGCTGTACTAACAGCTGCAGAAGAACCCAGGCTCATCTGGGTAGAAAGGAAAAAAAGTGAACTGACAATCAGTGACATGTTCCCAGTATTTTACCAGAAATATTACCGTTTTCCTATTATAAAAGCAGTGCTCCAGGAGTGCTGCATGTTGGAGGGGGAAGGATTGGAGAATCTAGTTCTCTAAACTAAAATCTTTTTTTATGGCACATGAAGAAAGAAAGCAAAAACCACTTGCCAAACAGATTAATGTAAAGAACCTGTTGTTTGCAGAAACTAGAGCTCTTTACAATTTGATATATAATCTCTATGCAAGTATCATTTCATCCATCACTGAAATGCAGCTAACTGTGTGGTGAAACACAGCAACTCTTTAAAAGTACAGAGCAACACTACACTATGGTATAGGTCAGGAAGAAAAAGAATGTGTTTTCCAAGAGAACTAGTAGGGGAGATTTACATAGAATAAAATTTCCAGAGTTGCAGTTTGACCAACACATCAGAATTACCTGCCTTGGACTCTTTAATGATCAGCACTGATTACCATGATGTATGTAGCCTGATATAGGGACAGCTTAAATAATGGAGACCATCAAGCCGTTGCAGTGTACACTATGGTTAGCCAGAGCCCAGTCTGCTGTTTCTTGTGTGAAGTTCAGAGTACAGAATACAAAGTGCAGAATCCTTGGAGGCAAAAATTAGTATTATCTATACTGCCACCGTCAAGACCGCTTTTCCATTTATTATCCAAAAGATAGTGCCTTCTGCAGTATTGTGCTGGGGATCATCATCACCCTTCACGCCCACTGGCGTATAGGGCAGCAACAAAGGTCCTCCACTTCTGTCTGTCTCTGGCCAGCCTCTCAATAGTGCCTCAAGTGTAATTCATGCTCTTCATTTCTACTTCAGTGGTCCAGCACTATGTTGTCTTGGGTCATCCTCATTTCCGCTTCCCTTCAGGGGTCCAGTGCACAGCAATCTTCGTGATGAAGCTTCCATCTTTCCTGAGCACGTGCCTAATCCATCTCCAGCATCTTTTCATAATGATCGTAGCCAAATCATCTTGTTTATACCATGCAAGCAGGTCCCGATTTGAAATTATTCTTGGCCAAAAAATAAGGAGGATCCTCCGAAGACTTCTGGTGTGAAAAGTCGACAATTTATTGACGTCATACGCTGTCATCTGCCAGCATTCCGATCCAGTGTTGATAAAACTCAGCTCCGATACAACTTCAGTTTGGTATGGAAGCTGTATTGTGATGACTTCCATACAGCATTCAGACTCATGAAGACATTTCTGGCTTTACTGAGTCTGCTCTGGATATCGCTTCTGACGCCTCCGTCTTGCCTGATAATACTACCCAAGTATGTAAAGCTCTCTGTGATAGGTAGGTCATGGCCATTGATCTTAACTGATGATGGTACCTCAATATTTAGGGTCATGATTTCTGTCTTCTTCTGGCTAACTCTTAATCCGACCTGTTTTCTGAAGGTGCAGAGTCGATATATCTTCTCTTGCATATGATGATGCTGTATGAGAGCAGCACGAGGTCATCAGCAAAATCAAGGTCCTCTAATGTGGAGAAAACAGTCCATCTGATGCCTCTTGGCTCATCTTCTGTTGTACACAGCATAACCCAGTCTATGACTAAGTTAAAGAGCATTGGAGACATGACGCATCCCTGCCTTACTCCAGTCTTAACTTCGAAGCGTAGATCATTGTTCCCCACACTGCATGTGAAATTGTTATAAAAGCTCTTAATGAGCTGTACTACTTCTTGTGGTATTCCATATACTCTCAGAATACGCCAAAGACTATCCCTGTTATAGGCTTTTTCAAAATCAATAAAGTTGATGAACAACTGCCTCTGCCATTCAATGCATTGCTCAATGATGTTACGCAGTACAAAAATTTGATCTACACACCCCCTTCCCTTACGAAATCCAGCTTGTTCTTTCCTCAGTGATTTATCAACAGCATCTACAATCTGCTGAATAATGATCTTAGCAAGGATCTTGCTTGGCACTGAAAGGAGAATGATGCCGCGCCAGTTGTTTCAGTCATTGAGTGCTCCCTTCTTGGGTATCTTAACAATAATTCCATTTGTCCATTCCTCTGGCACCTGCTTCCCTTCCCATATTGCTGTAAAGAGCAATTGGAGAATAGTGGCTGCAAGTTCTGGGTCTGCCTTGAACTGTTCAGCATTAAGATTATTGTGTCCTGGAGCTTTACCATTCCTTAAGGATCTTATTGCCATACTAATTTCTTCCATTTTTGGTGGAGCAGTATTTATGTCAAGGTCTGTTTCCGCTTCTAGAATATTGGCTTCTTCTTCTGATGGTGGCCTGTTTAGAACTTCCTGAAAATATTCTGCCTAACGAGCCTCTTGTTCCCTCTCTGTTGTAAGTAGATTTCCTTGTTTGTCCTGACAGGGACACATGCACTGGCATGATATTTACCGCATACAAGCTTGGTGATTTTAAAAACCATTCCTTGCTCTCTTCAAGTAGTTGCTTCTTCAGCTTATTCTGCTAGTTCCTCTATATGAGCTCTCTTATCAGCTCTCACCAATTTCTTAACTGATAGAAATGTAGCCGTGTTAGTCTGGTGTAGCTGAAACAAAAAACAGGACTATGTAGCACTTTAAAGACTAACAAGATGGTTTATTAGGTGATGAGCTTTCGTGGGCCAGACCCACTTCCTCAGATCAAATAGTGGAAGAAAATGGGCATGACCAAATTTGGCATACCAAAGGATACAATCTGAGAGAGTCTCCTTTAAGATATGTCTATTATCATGCCTTCCATGTGTCTGGCATGATCCATACTTTTTTCTTTGGTTTCTGTTTGAAACCTAGACAGTCCTCTTATTTCTTTGTGCATAATATAAATGTGTTTATGAACTTTATGAATAATAGGTGCCTACCAAATATGCAATTTATAGTCATATAATGCACAGGCAATGCTAATTAATATGCTCAGCATAATGTAGAATGGTCTTGCTAATGCAGGATGAAATCAAACATGACAAAACCCAAATGTCAGCAGTTTATGACAAGAGAAAGTATACCAGACTCCAGACAATGCTGAACTCCCCTATCACATATTTACTGAACCAGAACACATAGGATCAGATGCCATCAGTTATAGAAGAGAGAAAGAAAATTAGTCTTACAGTTATGAGACTTGTTCATAAAGCAAGGTATGTTACTGGGCTGGAGTGAGTGAAAAGACACTTAGAAGAAACAAACTCTGAGATAAAAGGTGTCGTGAAACTGGCAATAATTCCAAGCCACCTCTTCCTTTGAAGGAAACTCCACTCCCACCCCCTCGCTCCCAACCCGATGCTAGTCCCATTAAGTATTGACCTCTGATTGTGTGCTTGTGCTAAAGGAAGTGTTTGTTTCAAAACTGCAGCAGACTTGAGAATGAGATAGTGTCTAGAAACATCTGTTTTTGTTCAGCGCTACATCCGCCTGCATCCAGTTCCTCCAAGAAGTTAAAGGTTAGAGGACACTTTTAAGTTCACTTGTCAAATTATTCCCTGGTGCAATGTGAGAGATTCTTTATCTTTGATCGTTCATTACATTAGCATATAATATTAAGGAATACAAGTTCCATGGGGATGGAAGATTAACACTACAGCACAGGGTGGAGTCACAGAACTACTATAATTGAAAACTGGATGCACAAATCTGTTCCAACTTCAATTTTCAGTCTATTATAACTGTCTCAGACAATGCTTAAAAGAGGTGAATGTTCTTGTGCTTAGCCTCAACCTATAAGCAACTTTTTTGTGTATGAAAACTATTACATCTGGTGAGCCATTTTTTAAAATGTATGCTGCTCTGAAAAATAAATGCTTCTGTAACCCTTCTGCCGGGTAGGTCTGGCAGTAACCAGGGCTGGAGCTTGTTAATAATGCACTCCCATAACTAAAAGCCAGCTTGGTCAACAATATGTCACACAACTCATTCTTGTTGGCATGTTTGAAAAGCTCTTGTTTCCAAATAAGAGATATATTCATATTTGCTTTCTCTTGCTTTTTGAGACAGAGATATTTGCTAATGGTGAGTCTCCTAAGGTTTGCTTGAGAACTGTACATCTCCTAAAATTTGTTACGACCCACGTGTGTTTTAGTCTCCATCACCTGCCATTTATTTTTTAGGTGCTGAGTTCCTTGATATGCTGGATCTCTTCTAGAAGTGGGTTCTACAGTCATGGTCAGTTGCTGAGAATGCTTGCCTCACTCCTAAGGCTGATAGCAGGGCTGGATTAAGGGGGGGCTAGCCGGGCAGCTGCCTAACCAGGCAGCTGCCCGGGGCGCCAATCTATGGGAGGCGCCTGATAGCTGCTGTAAGGGGCACTGCATGGCCGGCTGCATGGCGCCCATTAGAGTTGCCATCAGGCGCTGCGTGCCCGGGGCCGGGGGGCTGCACAGCGCCCCTTAGAGTGGCAATCAGGTGCCACGTGCCCGATTGCAGCTGTAAGGTGTGCAACGCGCTAGGGGGCGGGGCCGCACATGAGTCGCACGCCCGCTACCCGGGGCGCAGGAAGGGCTGGAGCCGGTCCTGTGTGATAGGGCTTTTGTTCTAGTTATAATGGAATGGAAAAGGTGCAGCAGGAGACTTAGATGCCTACTGGGCCATTTTATTCATATTTTTTAGGAAAACATATTCATGAGTTGAATATGGCATACCTGAGATACGGTATATGTATGATAATTCATGTAAGGTATCATTGGAAAGGTTATGATTTACTGAAAATGATTATCCTGTGTGAATGCATATATCATTTATCTGAAGTTGATTGTGTATCTTTATTTCAACTATATTACTATGGGTGACATCCACCACTGGCACTTCAGGTACAATAATGAGAAAGCCAGACAGGGCTGATAGTCCATCAGGGAGGACAATGGACTGTGTAAAGGCTTGGCCTTCCTGAGGGAACGCTATACTGCCACTGACTCATGGATGCTGTGATACTACAGAGTCAGGTGAGCTGGTCACGTGACACTAATCTGCATCTTGGACTGCTAAATTGTTCACTGAGAGATGGGGGAGGGGCAAATAAAGGATTACCACCCTATGCACACAATCACAGTCTTCAGTTTGCTTCTCCTCCATCTCCCCAGCCAAGGAGATACTGGACAACACCTGGAACTGAGGGTGGTAGTGGAATAGCTGTTGGACCCTGACTAAAATCATGATAGCTGGCCTGAAAGGACTCTACCTAAAATACTATCTAGGATGAGGAATTATGTATAACCAATTAAGTAAATCAAGTTTAGTTTGTGTGCCTTGATTTATTTTCTTATTAATCTGCTTTGTTCTGTTAGTTACCTCTTTAACCACTTAAAATACCTCTATTGAAATTAATACATTTATTTGTTGCTCATAATATAACTCAGTTTGTGTAATTTCTAACTGGGAGGGGGCAAGAAGTTGCACATACTTTGATCCACATTGGAAGGAGATGAATTTCATATAATTTTGTGTCTGCTCTGCACTCCAAGGGTGGTGGAAACAGGGGTGCTGTGTTAAGTCTCTTAAATTCAGCATTTCCAGAGCTAATCTCATTGTCTTTATTGTTCTGCAGTTGGGTGCATCCTCCCTGTGTGTGTGCTGCAGGAGGCTTGAGTCTGGCTCTCTAAGACAGGCTTAAAGGGTGCCCAGGCTGCCAGAAAAAGTTCTCCCCATGATATTGCAGTGCATCAGGTGACATCCCAAGAGGTTGAAGCAGTCACACCCACCACCAAAAAGGCAATGAGATGATAGAATGGCACCTTTTGATTCATTTTACATATACCGTGTAACTGCTGGACCCTTTGGAAGATCTCGTAGGAATAGTGACTGTTCTGGTGATCAGTAAATAGGGGACTCATTTGACTAGGTCACTCATTTAAGTACATCGCTTACAAGACAAAGGTAACATCCTACTTGAAATCTCTATATACTTTATTGTCCAATACAGAATCAAATGCCATTAGACAAAAACAAATATGTATTTATTGGCAGTTACAGCAGAGAAGATAGATAATAAAAAAGAGTAAACTTTATTCCCAACCATGAGATGTAAAGGAAGATTCTCTGAGCTGCTCCATATGTACAGGTTAAAGTATAACATTTATGATTTTTCTAAGCATGGCTGAAAGTTGCCTACTGTATAAGAGCAGATGATGTCTCTGAGTTCCTCTATAGCACTAACATTCTCTGGGAAATGACATCCTGTCTGCTTAGAGCGTAGGTCAGCAGTAGCCCACATCAGCTTTGATACAAAAGTGAAACCATTGCAACAGAAGTGAACTCATACTAGGTTTTTAGTAAAAACTTTCTCCTATTTCAAGTTGAGGAAATGCATAAAAATGACAACTGTCCTCTTTCCTGTCACTAAATCTGTAATTACTTTTATTTAAAACCATAATAGTTATTATGCTCTTTCAATCTGAAAAGCAGGCTCATGTATATATACCATGTATTTCATAAGTCTCTCTGTTAGGCTAAAAGTTGCATTTGCTGACTTTCTGAAAGGAGCATCATCAACCTGCAACTGACCAGTCCTCCCTGTTCAGTGCCATTAGTAGTTTTAGCTCCCACCTGCACTAGCAAACAATTCTCAATTTTGTACTAGAAAAATGCAGAGTAAGGGTCCTGTCAGCAGTGCTCCTTGTAAGATGAGCGATGCCTCAGTGCACATAACAAAATTAATTCTGCCCATGGATGGAAAAATTTAGAGGGAACATTGCCTGTCAACACTTTCTACTCCCATTAGTAAATGTTTGAAGGATGGATTCTTAAAATTCATGGGCTAGATTCTTAGCTGCATTTGCTAAACTCAATTCAGCTGAGGAGACAGGAATGGGCAAACAAGACCTTTAGCTTCCTTGAACTCTGGAGTAACTTAGAGCTGCCTAAAAACTGCCTTAACGTATGCTTGGTTGCAGGGATTCTGAATGGAACACTTCTTTAGCCCAGGGTCACTGAGTATGGTTGAGTTTGGACTATGCTCTGACATAATCCCTGTGCCAGGTCTGTTGGGTGATAGCAAGCTCCACATCATGTAGGGAATCCCCTCCACCAAAACAATCCCAATGACCCAGTTAAACATGCTTTCAACAGGTATTGGGCTCTGACCCCATAAGTATAGCTATCAAGCAGATACAAATAGTTTAACTAAACTACTCCCAGACTTTGGAAAAGCTTCTAGTTTGGATTAAGAAACAGATGACAGTTTGGGCCAGTTCTTCCTTTTTTTAAAACTGTTCTTCCATTGGTGTTGGATTGTAATTAAATTAGCACTTAGATATCAAGTTGATGGCTGACTCAAATACCTATGATGAGAAGCTAGACAGTAGTGCATATGTAAAAAAGCAAGAGTTGCGGAAGACTTTTATTTGTGCATGTGTGCGTGTGCGTGTGTGTGTTTAAGTTCAACTTTGTTGGTAAGAGTCTTAGATTTTTCCATTTTATCATCAGAAGGGACCATTATGATAATTTAGTCACACTTCAGCATAACAGAGGCCATAGAACATCACCCAGTAATGTCTGCATCAAGCCCCTAAGATAAGTCATTTAATGTATAAAGAGGGCAAGACCATGAGCAACACATTTTATTTTACTAATATTTGTGAAAGGGCCACGACAGAACCAAAAAATCCTGCATCCTGAAAGTTTTCTAAACAAAGAACCAACCCCATAAGTGTTTGTACAATTATTGATATTCTCAAATTATTAACAAGTGTGCACTGTGGAGGGTAGGAGATATTTTAGGGCATCAGGCAACAGCTGGCAGGTAAAAATCAAAATATAGTTGATCAGTGTTCTCTGTAAGCTGTGTATATGTTCGTGCAGCCGCCCAGGAGAGACTCAAATGCCACCCCGCTGGTTAGCAGAGTGTTTTTAGTTTCTGCTCGTGGTGGACATTCATACATGCCTCAGTGCAATGAAAATTTATTCTGCGCATTAATGGAAAATATTAGAGGAAACACTGATGTTGATATCATCCTTCAGAGACTAAGGCTATGTTTACACTACAGAGTTTTTCCTGGATACCTCTGGTATCCCGGAAAAAATCTGCTGCATCCAGGGAATGCGTCCGCTTTTTTAGAACAGTTTCCAAAAAAGCGGGTGCATTCTTTCGGAAGCCCTGTAGTCCTCATTTTATGAGGAATAAGTGCTCTTCTGAAAGAGGAGGTTTTTCCCACTTTTGGCCCCATGTAGACAGGAAGCCCTTTTTTCCGGAAAAGCGTCTGTGGCCAATGTAGATGCGCTTTTCCGGAAAAGAGCCCCGATCGCCATTTTCGTGATCGGGGCTTTTTTCCGGAAAAGACTACTGGGCTGTCTACACTGGCCCTTTTCCAGAACAGTGTTCCGGAATAAGGACTTATGCCCGAGCGGGAGCAGAATAGTTTTTCCGGAATAGCGGCTGATTTTGTACAGTAGAGCATCGTTGCTTTTCCGGACATTCAAGGGCCAGTGTAGACAGCTCGCAGCTTATTCCGGAAAAGTGGCTGATTTTCCGGAATAAGTGGCCCAGTGTAGACACAGCCTTATATTAAACATAAAGTTATTATACAGAGTTTTGTATTTAGAACATTTCTGGCTGTCTTCTCACCCCACAAGGACAGAACCTTTTCCATAACCCCTCCTCTCCACAGACATGACACTTACTTCTTTTGATACCCCTCTATGATCCATTTATTCAGTGTGTTTTTATTTTTAAGAGATAAGCAGAAAATTGCATCCAGGGCTAAACTCCACACTATGAAAATACAAGAGAGAGTGGCTAAAAGGCAGGGTTTTACTCCACTACTTGAGAAAGGTATCCAAGTGAGATTTGTCATTGAAAGTTAACAGACCGCAGCTGCATTGAGCAAGCAAAAGAACATCACTTTTCTAGATGTTGACAGTTTCTAAACTGCCTCATGGACAAACAGAAACTGGAGAATATTATTCTGGTGTGGGATTTTCATTTATTTAAATAGTAAAAGAAAGAAGATCAGGAGGATCAAGCAGAACTTGGAAGGCTGTTTACAAAGGGTAAGATGAAATTGAAGAGAAAGAGAAAGGAAAAGGCCTTCTCAGATCTCTTTTACTAATAGTTGACTGATACAATTTTTCTCTTGTTACCATCACTCTGTTGGGCCTCATCTTTGCCTGCTCTCTGGAATAAAGCAGCTCCTCCCCACAGAGGTAGGACACACTACTGTAGAGGGCAATGCAAGTTCAGATGGCACAAAATCAGTAGAAACATCAGCTACCAGAGTGGCAGCAATAACACAGTAAGAATTTTAAATTGAACTTTTAGTAGTTGGTTTAAGAGGAACCAAGCAGATTAGGTTCCTTTGTTCACCGGTTGTGCTGGTGTCAAATGATTTAGTTTTATAAAATGACTCAGGGTTGGTGATTATGACTATTCATCACTTGCCACTTCAGAAAGCCCAGACTGAGGAAGGGGAGTAAAATAGCTAGGACACTGGATCAGTGCAATTCTTATTTAAGATCTAAATACTGAGAAGATAAAAAGTATCCTTCTCCCAGACTTCAAATTAACCTAGTTGAATTGCATAAAAATGTCCAGTCTAGAGTGATTTATTATTCAGTATTGTGTGACCCAGATCATAAGCAAGAACAGAAAATAATCACAACTCCATTTTTGAAAAGAGGCCATTTTGCATTTCTAAATAAATTGAGCTACAAAAGGTATGGACCCATCTGTGTATACATGGAGGTTATTCCAACCCTTGTTTTCATACTAAACAGTCATCCATTGAAGAACAGTTCAGACATAAGCCCCGTAATATACACTCTAATATCAGAGATTACACTAGAGATTTAAACAATTCCTGGTTTGCTTTTCAGCAGAGGATCTCTCTCATTGTTCCCAGGGAAGAGAACAGCCTTGACATTGTTGAAGTACACACTCAGCCCCTCCCTGTTCACCACTTGTTCTGCGCTTCTTTCAATAGGTTTGTACTCTTTGTATCTCCTGCAAGGAACATTGTAAAGATCATAACTGACATGCTTTTCAGTCATGGTGTATATATAACATGGCACTATGACTATAGGAGAGCTAAATATTGGTAACACACTTAGGCGCCAACTCTGTGGCTGTTCTGGGGCTGGAGCACCCACTGGGTGTGTCTAGACTACAGGGTTTTGTCGACAAAACTATACCCGCGTCCACACTGCCTTTGAGTTATGTCGACATAACATCGACAAAACTCAGCAATTTTGTCGATGTATGTAAACCTTATTCTACGAGGATTAACGCCTTTTATCAACAGAGTTCTGTCGATAGAAGGCATTATTGCATCTACACTGTCCTTTGCGTCCACACTGTTATGTTGATAAAGCGGCTTGCTTTGTCGACAAAACTGGATGTAGTCTAGACGCTCTTTGTTGACAGAAGCTTTGTCGACAGTATCTGTCGACAAAACTTCTGTCGACAAAACCCTGTAGTCTAGACATACCCACTAAGAAAAATTAGCTGCAGGTAATCCCATCTCTGTCCTCTGCCTGTGAGTGCCTCTTGCCTGATAGCAGCCCCGCTGATCATCTCCTTCCCCTCCATCCCAGTGCCTCCTGCCTGCTGCAAAACAGCTGTTCAGAAGGCTCTGGGAGAGAAGGGGAGGAGCTGGGATGGGCATGCTTGAGGGAGGACCTGGAAAGAGATGTAGAAGAGGTTAGGGTGGGGCAGGAGCAGTAAGAGGCATGGCAGGGACTTGGGAGGAGAGGGAAGGGGTAGGGGTGCAGCTTGCGGGAAGAGGTGGAGTGGTGTCAGGACCTGAGGTGTTGGGGGGTGCACTAGGGGAAGTTGGCACTTATGATGTCATGTCCTCCTCCATCCTCTCCCATGACAGGCAGTAGTGACTAATTCTGAATGACCTTGTAGAGCTGCTAGGTCTAGAGAGGTTATTAAGGAAAATAATAGCATTCCAGAGAGGATTTTGAGTTGTTATGAACTCAGGTCTATGTTTTACTGGAAAGGGAAAGTTACTGTACACCCTGTCTTACCACACTGCATTCTGGGAGAGTAATACTGGAACAGTTTTTATAGTGGGGGTTCTGGAAGCCATTGAGCAAAACTGTATACCCTGTATGTGAAAGAACAGCTTCCAGCCAGGGATCTCAGTGGCAGAGTGAAACCCAGATAGGACTGGCAGCAGGGAGTGGAGAGCTGGGGCTGGGGGCAGGGAGCCAGCAGTCAGGGCTGAAGCTCAGCAGCTGGAGGCTGGAGGCCAGCAGCAGAGGGACTGGCATTGCCCTCCTCTGATCTAGCTAAGTTCTGGGTTCAGGTCCTGAGTGAGCCAGACCAGCAACATCCAACCTGTATACCCTTCCTCTGAATTCAGTTCGGGGGCATTGGAACAGAGAAGGGCCAAGCAGCAATGGCCCCTCCACTTTTAAAAGTAGGAGGGCTGTGCCCTCCCACTTTTTATCAACAGCAATGGTGAGCAATGGGAGGACAGGGCTGGAGAGTAGTGAGTGGGGGGTGGAGTCTTGGAGGGAGAGGTGGCACATTAGGAGAGGCCTCTGGGAAGGGGCAGTGTGAAGGCAGGGCTGTAGAGGAATGGGTGAGGTGGGAGCCGGGGACTTAGGGAGGAGGGGTGGTGCAAGGGTGGGATCTTGTGGGGGAAATGCGGCATTAGGGCCATGTCCACAGTTTGGGTGTCTATGGGACCTCACCACATTTAGGGCACTTATACTACTCTTGTGGTAGCTATATAATCTGCTTCTAATAGAGTGCCCAGATAAACAAATCCCTGTTCACATAGGATCAAAGAAACTGGACTAGAAACCTGCTAGTAACAACCATGTTTAAACCTAGTCATATTTACTGGTATCAGGGTTCTGCTCTCACAGGGAATGAAAAAGAATATGAACAGTGTGATAAGGGAAGGGCAAATGCAGACAGATGATAATAAAATGTAAGCCTGAAGAACAATGGGAATTAGAAAGAGTGGGAATACTAGCATAAGAACGGCCATACTGGGTCAGACCAAAAGTCCATCTAGCCCAGTATCCTGTCTGTGAACAGTGGCCAGCACCAGGTATCCCAGAAGGAATGAATAGAACAGGTAATCAAATGTTATCCCAGTAGCCCATTCCCATCTTCTGACAAACAGAGGCTAGGAGCAGCATCCCTGCTCATCCTGGCTAATAGCCATTGATGGACCTAAACTCCATGAATCTATCTAGCTCTTTTTTTGAATACTCTTAGCCAGAACTATGCAAATTATGGAGAGGATGAATTTAGCCTCTTTTTTTACTGTAAGCTCCTTGGGACATGGAATGTCATTCACTATGGGTATGTCTACACTACAGCATTATTTAGAAATATCTTATTTTGAAATAGTTAATTCGAAATAAGTTATTTCGAAATAACACGTCTACACACAAAATGCATTTCGAAATAGCGTTTTGCTATTTTGAAATAGCGTGTCCACACTGAGTGGACGCTGAATCACACTTAAGGCCGGCTGGAACCAGGTCTGGCAGGGCACCAGGTCAGGAGTTACTTTGTGTGGCTGCTGCCTGAGGCTATCTGAGGCCTGTGTTTAAAGGGACCCTCCCAGACAGCCGGTTCTCAGCTTTCCCTGCTTGCCTGCCTACCTCGATGAGGGCCAGCAAAGCATTTTGTGTCTGCATGCTCTGGTTGCCCTCACTCGGGACACCACAGCACTCTGCAACATGGAGCCACAGCTGCCCTGGGCACTCTGATGCTTCTCGTGGACGCGTTATTGCAAGCCTGGCTGCACTTTCTGCAGGTTGCCATAAGGGAGGTCCATCGGGGGGCTGTCAGTATCCAGGAGGCCCTGCGGGAGAGCTTCCACCCTGAGGAGCACTAAGAGCCTCCCTGGTCTGCCCCACTGCGGGCTTGTGCCTCATTCCTCCCTCACGTCCTTCCACTTACCCCTCCCTAACCCCCCTTCCTGATGTAAAATAAAATACATGTATTTTCATGAACACAAACTCTCTTTATTTAACAAAACTGGGGGGGATGAAACTCTGGTGAAACTGGGGGAAAGGAGGTGGGAGAGGGGAGGGGGAAATCTGGGAGGAGGGAGCTGGAATGGAGAAGCAAGGGGAAGAAGGAGGAGGGGAAGCTCAGGGCTTAGTGTTGGTGGGGAAGGTGAGTCTTGCCAGACCAACTTGATTTTCATGCAAACCTGCTCTGGGTTCGCATGTGGCCTTTGGTGGCCAGGCTGGCAGGTATCCTGCCATAGACAGCCACGTTCCTCCGTCTAGTGTGGAGATCATGTATGTTGGGGGCATCCCCCCCAAACCTGAATAAGGTCCATGATCTCCACCCTGGAAGATTTTTTCTCATAAAAAGGAAAAGGAGGGGTCTAGTAGGAGGGAAAGCTATACTGTAGAATGATCACAAATGGGGCAGTGATTGCTGGCTCTGGGCTGGCAGGCTTGGAGCTGGCACAGGCACTGTGGCCAGAGTCAACCCCTTTAAGGGCTCCGGGGAGGGGGGAAGGAGAGGAGTGTTCTTGGTTGAGGCTGGAGTGGCCACCAGGGCATGCTGGGAAGGCTGGAGGCCCCCTATTTTGATGTGTGTCTACACAGTATTATTTCGAAATAGCTATTTCGAATTTGGAGTTATTCCTCATGGAATGAGGTTTACCAAATTTGAAATAAGCGCTCCGCTATTTCAAATTAATTTTGAAATAGCGGTTTGGCTGTGTAGACGCTAGTAAAGTTATTTCAAAACAACGGCTGTTATTTTGAAATAACTTTGTTGTGTAGACATTCCCTATATGTTTGTACAATGCCTAGCACAATGGGATCTTGACAGGTTAATGTCTGCTACTCCAATATAAATGTTTCTGTTTGTGAATGGCCTGCAAGGGCATTACTATATTTTCAAATGTATTTATTATTTTAAAAGTTATTTGATTAACAATGTTGACGAATAGGTCTTTTCCTGCAGATCATTCATACACATTTTGTAATGACTCAGTATTCTAAACCTAAAACTTAAGCTGTGTTGGTTAGCTTTGATTAGACACATAAGTCACCTGGTATTATTTCTGTTCTCTGATTGGATGAGTACAATTTTTAAACTCATGTTTCCAGTATGACTACTTGTGCTGATGAATTCAAAATTTGTTTTTCTATTATATTCTTTCATAATCACTCCCCATGTGCTGACTTTATGAGCATTCTAGCCAGCAAACTCGTTTGCTGAAATATTTGTGGAAAGCAAACCCCAAAAGGACGCAAACCTCGCCAAAACAAATTCAATTTTTTTATGCCTCTGAATATTTGTGGAATCGTTTTGTGTCAGCTCCATGATCTACTTCTTAACTGCTGGAACTAGCAACTTACCTGTAAAAAAGGAGAGTCACAACGACGACAAACATCACCAAGAAACCTGAGGCAATCAAGAAACCTTCCACTGTCCTTGAAGATGACCCTGGAGCTTAAAGAACAAGTTTGTTTAAAATATCAGCCTCATGTTTTATACGGTGAAATAAAATTTTCTAGCATTCTTTCTGCTGTGTGACTATGGAAGGTGCAGTATATTGAACACTCCCTTTATGCTAAACAATAGGGTTCAGCAACATTCATAGACCATAGAATCCAATTAATCTTTGATGCCAATGGTGTTAAACTAACAGTAAAAATGAAGAGAGTGGAGCCTTGTATGCTTCCATATGAAATATATTATTTGCTGACTGCAACATGCAAATAACTTTACAGCGGGAAAAGGAATTAGAGGGCTGTGTGTCATCCCACAAGGTTTGGGGTTACTTTGCTATTTGTTATTATGATACACGTACAATGTAGAGTACAATGTACTTAATCTTTTTATAAACCCAGAGAATGTGAATTAATATGTCGTTGAGGAGTGGAGTTTGAGGGAGGAGAAAGGATAGAATTTTGCTGGTATCTTTTCATTTGCCCTAACCATGTGTTCTAGCGATTCCCTTCTGTGACCTAGGGCTGGACAGTACTTCATCCTGAGAGGACTGAGCGTCTGTAGATGGAGTGGTTGGTGATGGGGATGTGATGCCCTTTCAAGGGGTTGCAATAATGGCAGTGTGGGGCATTAACTCTTGACTCAGCCTGTGATTCCCTCTGTCGCTTTGCGAGCTAACGACCACCACTCACAGTGGCCATAAATTCAGAGCTCATTGCACTTGGATCCAGTCCTAATCCCAGCAGATCCGGCCACAGGAGACACTGAATAAATAAATAGTGTTTCATGCTATTTTTATGATCTATATTAAGCATCTTGATTCTCCGGTCCAGAAACTGCACTTGAATATATGTGGTGAATTCACTGCTGCTGAGTCATGCTCTTGCTTATCATATTCACAATTATGTTTATATAGTTGAGTAAACAAGAGATAAACATTGATTTGAATCTAATTTATTAATCCATAATTGCTAGGGCTGCCAGGTGTCCGGTGTTAAACCGGACAGTCCAGTATTTGAGCTTTGTGTTCGGGAAACAAATTGAGGAAATATAAATGAGAAAATACAAATGTCCAGTATTTTCTAAATAAGATGTAATGTAGATTATAATGTAATGTCAAGTGTGTCCAGTATTTTTGTTGAAACCATCTGGCAACGCTAATAATTGCTATGTAAATATGCAAAACAAGATCTTAAATTAGTGTTAACAGTTGACATAAAATATGCAAATCACATCATCTTTCAGTTTGTTAGAACTGTATAAATATCAGCATAAGCTTGACAGTAAAGCTAGTTTACATGGTTGTCCTTGTTGAGATGGTGCGTATATACGTTCCTGTGTTAATTATGTGTACCTTTAGACCAGATCTGGGCAAAATTTGGCCTGTGGGCCGGATTTGGCCCACCAAGCCACCGGATCTGACCCATGGACACTGCAGGGAGCCCCGGACAGGCTCCCCTCTTGCCTCGCGCCACCCACACACCACTCTGAAACACGGCGGAGGGGCGTTTTTTTTTTTTGTTTTTTGTTTTTTTTTAAACTGTGAATCCAGAGGAGAGGGGAGAAAGCTTTAGGAGCGGCTCCCACCCCCCGCACAATCCCATTGGCCGGTTTCTGGCCACAAACTGGCCAATGGAAGCTGCCTGTTTCAATAACAGGCAGCCACCAGAGCACATGGCTGCAGCCTGTACAGGGTGGGGCAGGCAGGAAGGCTGATTCAGGGACAGCACTGGCTGGTAAGTCTCTTGGCAGAACCTACCTCTGGCACCCCAGTCCCACCCTTCCCCAACCCTCTGCCCCCCACCACACATACCCAAATCATCTGCCACCATCCTGTACCCATATCCCCTCCCAGATCTGGCACCCCATCTCCTGCTCCAAATCACAGTCTCCTCTGGCCCTAGCTCACAAACCAAATCCCTGCACCCTAGTCCAGTGCCCCAGATCGCAACTGCCTCCTTATCCCAAGCTCCCTTCTGCACCCAACCTGCATCCCAAATAGGGTTGCCAGGTGTGTGGTATTGAACCGGACAGTTAGGTATTTTCGCCTCCTGTGTGGTAAAAATGTTCAGAAAATACTTTCTGATTTTTTTCCCGGTCAGGAGGTGAAAATCCGGGGCTGTCTGGCTCAATGCGGAGGTAGCCTGGCAACCCTAGTGCTTTACCGGGTTCTGCAGGGGAGCTGTGCAGCCCAATGCAGAGAGGCAAGATGGCAGGCAGTTGCTGACAGCTTGTTAGGGCCAAAAAGCCTCCCATGTGGTTTTTAAACTGGCCACAGTGATTTTTTTTTTTTTTTGCTTAACAACTCTCGGGGAACACTTTTTTTCCCCCCCTTTGTTCAACAAACTTTTTCCTGGCATGGTTTAGTAGTTGTTGTTCAGTATTTTTTCTGAAACCATCTGGCAACCCTAATCCCAGACCCTGCACCTTCTCCATTAATATCCTGGAAGAGTGTGGTCCTTGACCACTTTCCAAATTCTAGGAGTGGCTCCCTGTCAAAAATTATTGTCCACCCCTGCTTTAGACTGTTTTGGAAAGTACTATACTACACATCCAAAGAGTATGTATATATTGTGGAACTGCATCCTTTCTAACACTAATTTAAATACATGTAAACTTAGCTGTGATATACAGCACTCCAATTTTGAGAGGGCACAATCCTACAAAGCACCAGGGGCCGGATTTTCAAAAGTATTTAGGTATCTAAAGACGCAGATAGGCACCTAGTAAGGCTTTCAGAAATGCCCATGCCCCTCACTCCTATTTAAATTAACAGGAGTTAAGCACCTACTAGGACTTTTACAAGCACCTAGGAACCTATCTGCATCTATATGCACCTAAATACCTCTTAAAATCTGGGCCAGAGAGCCCTCAGCTGCAGTGTCTCACCACATCAAGTCCACAGTAAATAATATCTGCTGAGAACAGTGTTGTGAACAAACACCAAGGGCTACTTCCTCAGATTACATAAATTGGCCCACAATATTGAAATCACTGGGGAGGCAGTGCGGCCTAGTGGCTGGGACACTAACCTAGGACTTGGAGACCAGGCTACAATTTCCTGCTCCAGCCCAGATTTCCCTGTGTCATGTTGGGTAACGTAGCCTCTCTGTCTCAGCTTCCCTATCTGTAAAATGGGGATAATGGCAATGTTCGACCTTCCAGGGTCATTGTGAGGAGAAACACAGGAAAGACTGTAAGATATATGAATACCTTAGATTGAGTTCTAATCCTGATTTTACCAGGTAACCGTAGGTAAATCACTTTTTCTGTCTGTGCCTCTGATTGCTTTTCACGCTCTTTGTCTCTCTTTTTTCTATTTAGATTAGAAACTCTCTGGGGGCAGGGATTCTCTCTTACTGTGTGTTCGTGCAGTGTCTCATTCGGCGGGGCCCAATCTCAGTTGAGGTCTCTCAGCAGTATCATGCAAATAATTAATAAGAACCGCCCCACCCCATATCCCCATGAAAGAGCTAGGAAGAGAAGCTATTCATGGATCTTCAGTATCGGTTCCATTTGGACTCACCTCCATTTACAGATATAAGGGCACTTGTGAGGGCTTGGCTGGTGTCATCACCCAGGGTAATGTTTACACAGTAGGTTCCAGGCTCATTGAAGGCTCTTCTTATGGTCAGTAAGCACTGATCTGTTACTTCAACAGGGTTACATACCACACCGAGGGACTCCTGGCATGTGGGGTCAGAGACTATTGTACAAGCATCTGTAGGAAGACTGGGGCAAGTGTGAGAGAGAAAATGAATGAACAAGGAGGCCAACAGACTTGCTGGGCCCCTGGGAAAAGTGGGAGGGAGCCCTGGCTCTGTGCTCCTGGAAGGGATGGGGCCTCAGGCACAAGATGTCTGTTTGGAGCATGTCATGGCATGGCCCCTCTCCCCTCCAGCCTTTAGTGCTGCCTGGAGTGTGCTGCATAGCATTCTGTTGACGATTTAAAGGGCCTGGGGCTCCAGCCACTGCCGCTGCTCCTGCAGTAGTAGCTAGGGATGTTAAGCAGTGGTTAGTTGGCTAAAAGAGTAGTCGATGGAATTTCCACCGACTACTCAATTAGTTGATAAGGAAGGGCAGTTTCAGTGCTCACTCACAGGTCACACCAGATCTCAGCACAACCTACTGCTGCCCCGCTGCATTTTTAAAGGGACAGGAAAGCCGGCATGAGAGAATGCTGGCTGAATCCCGGGGGGGGGGGGGGGGGTAGCGAGTAGTTGATAGTGCTGCTATCTGATAAGCTCCTGCTTATTGGGTAGTTGACTAGTCGACTACTTGTTTACATCCTTAGTAGTGGCAGGGGTGGCCAGGAGCCCTGGGCCCTTTTGAATTGCCAAGCCCCAGAGGCAACTGCCCCATTTACTCCCCCTGCATTGTAGGGCCTCTGAAGGAATATCATTACTGATCCAATTCATAGATTCATTGGGCCTAAGTCTCTCTTCTGTGAGACCTGTTTTTATGCTGGTGCAACTCTGCTGCAATCAGTGATGTTAAACCTCAGACTTCCCTGCACCCCTTTCTGACATGACTGCAGGTGGGGGGACTGAAGCCTGAGGCCTGACTCCCTGGGGAAGGGGGAAGCTCAAGTCCCATCATCCCTGCCATGTGGGACCAAAGCTGAAGCCTAATGGCTTCAGCTTCAACCCCTGAAGGTGGGGCACAGGTTTCAGCCCTGGACCCCAGCAAGTCTAAGCCAGCCCTGCTGACCCCATTAAAACAAAATCACAAACCGCTTAGAAGTCCTGACCCACAGTTTGAGAACCTCTATGTTAGACCAATATAAAACTGGCCCCATAGCCTTACTCTTCCATTAAATTAGCTGTTTGGCATATCCCTCACCATTTTCTGACTACAGAGGCCTTTGCATTTTCCCCACTTCACTTCTGCAAGTATACATCATTGCAGAACTATGTTTGGCGTCATTCAGACTTAGCTGATATAACAGTACCAGCAATTACACTCATTTGTCAAAGCACAGAAGCACCAGCCCCCTAAGTTGATAAAAATCTATTCATTTCTGGTCACCAGGCATACAATGTAAATCCTTTGGAGATTCTTAAATGTGCTAGTACATGTGGCAGGAATGTCTTGCTAGTTTTAGGATTACTTTCAAAGCGATTATTTCCCAGTTATGTTGCCAAGACTCATCAGCACCTCTCAGTCTCCTCAGATCCTTTCCAGTGGCAAAGAGTATTAATGAAATGCTCTTCGCAGTTAGGGAATTCCCTTGATACAAGTTTTTATTCCAAATGTCAAAAAACTTTTGGCTAGGAAACTTCCTCCCTGTTTGAGCAAGCCACTTCTCCTTTTAGCGTGAGTGCTGAAGTCCTCCATCTTTGCCTGGAGAACAGCGAATTGCTTCTGTTCACCAACTAGTTCTACTAGTTTTTGCTTAGGCATGTCATTTGGGTCTGATGCCAAAGAACCTGGCAACAATTTCTTTTGATCTAAAACTCACAAATGATACTTATATTATTTTAATTTCAGTCAACCCAGCAGTTACCAGTTATTGTTCATGCAGCTGCATATGAATGTGGATAGCATTCTAGTTACATACAAGTACCTAATTTTTAAAAAAGGGAAATTAGTGAATACACTTACCTCCCTTGGCACGTAACAACAAAATCAATCAGGGAGTTTTCACCTTGAGCCACTGTCACCTGGACATTTGTCATCTGAATAATGTTCACCTGAAGGATTCCCTCTAAGGGAGGAAAGAGCCCCATCAACCAGTTAGGTTACTTAGTCAATGACATGACACAGGTTGGACCTCCCTGGTCCGGTACCCGTGGGACCTGACTGGTCCTGGTTGAGGGATTTTGTCGGACCAGGGGAGGTCATATTTGGCTCCCCTGCTACTGGCCTCGCTCAGCCCTGGACCAGCCACCAGCCTCCTTCCGACCAGGGGAGGTCATATTTGGCTCCCCTGCTACTGGCCTCGCTCAGCCCTGGACCAGCCACCAGCCTCCTTCCCGGTTCCCCCTTGCCACCAGCCTTGCTGCCTTGCCGGTTCCCCCACCTCCTTCTCTGCTATGCTGGGCAGTCCAGCTCCCTGTGCGCCAGGCTCCTGGCCCCTCTCGGCAGCCCTGCTGTGGTGTGCTGAGCTCCTAGCCCCACTGGGCAGCCCTGCTGTGGCACACTGGACTCCTGGCCCTGCTGCGTTGTGCGTAACTGCCCAGTTGCGATGTGCTAGGCAGACCAGCTGAGGGGAACCCAGCCACCAGCCCTCCACCAGGACTCTCTGTTCCTGGAACACCTGTGGTCCTTCCGGCTGACAGATGTTGCTGGACCAGGGAGTTCCAGATTACAGAGGTCCAACCTGTACAACTAAAACAGTCCACTTAGAATCATAGGTCTATATTTGAATTATCCTGACTGGGTCTGAACTCTACACATTTAAAACTCAATAAGCGATTTGTTAATGATCAGCTCAGGTCTGGTCTCTTTACTATGCTCCAGCTCACCCCTTCAAAAGTTGTTGGAAATTTTAAGACGTTATAATACACATAATCCTGCACTTTATACTGGATTGTTGCCCTCCTTTCTAATTTGTGACAAACTCGCTCAAATCCTCCACTGGTCATTTCTTTTGAGTTTAACAACTAGGTAGACCAGATTGTAAAAAATCAAACTATGTCAACTGGTAGAATAGGTCCTTATTGTTTCTTCTTGTGGTGTTAACACAATAGATAGCATGGAAACTGAACAAACAAAGCAGTCCCTATGCATTCAGTACCATATCAACTGATTTTCCTATTGTCTTTTTTGGTTTAGGCACTTACCTACAATGGATATAGTAGTTTTATAATGTCCATATCTGTAAATATTGCAGCCTGCATTGGGAATGTATTCCATTACTCCAGCACTGGTGGGAGAGTCCAGATTAGAGGGTGGTTTAGTAGTTACTGTTGGATTGAATGGGGGAAAGAAAGATATTGCTAGTTACGCTGCTTAGAAAATATTTTGCACAATGTATGTTATGGAGGCAAAGTTTAAGTGGATTAATTTATTTCACCCCACCAACAAAAGGAAGTGAAATGATTAAAAAAATAGGGTTTTGCCCTTCTGCTAAATGCACAGTGAGTAAATAAGTGATGCAGTTTATCTCAAAGAGATCTCTGCTAAACTGAAAGAAAATCTGCTTGCTCCAGTGTTCTGCAGAGCTGGGCAAGAGGAGGTATTTGGATTTCAAATCCCTAGGCTGGTAGGAGATGCAGAAGTAGCACACATGAGATGGGAAAAGGAATTTGTCTCAGCTCACAGGCGATTAAATATGGAATTCAGCCTTCTACATAGAATGAATTAGCCACTCTTCTGTTTTGTCTTTTCTTCTTTTTTTGAACTGCTGCTACTGTTAATCATGTCTATTCCAGCTCCCCTGCAGGAACTTTCACTATGGGTACATCTAGACTACATGGCTCCGTCGATGGAGCCATGTAAAGTAGTTTACTCGGCATAGTCAAAGAAGCGGGGATTTAAATAATCCCCGCTTAATTAATATAAAAATGGCCACCGCGCTGTGCCAACGATCAGCTGATCTGACACAGTGCGGTAGTCTAGTGACAGTATGCCTCGTGAAACGAGGTTTACCGGAGCAGTTGACATAGGTTTCCTTTGTCAACCACGCAGCGTCTAGACTACCGTGCTGTGTCGGATCAGCTGATCATCAGCACAGCGCGGTGGCCTTTTTTATTTTAACGAAGTGGGGATTATTTAAATCCCCGCTTCTTTGACTATGCCGAGTAAACTACTTTACATGGCTCCATTGACGGAGCCATGTAGTCTAGACGCACTCTATGTTATCAGACCTGTTCCAGATATATTGTGACATATATTAAAAAAAAACCTTCCATTGTCTTTCTCTGTTTCTTGTTGCATACAATATAGGTTTTACATTGTACTTGTCCGTGAGATGTGTCATTTTATGCTCATAGGCTACGTCTACACTGGCATGATTTTCTGGAAATGCTTTTAACGGAAAAGTTTTCCGTTAAAAGCATTTTCGGAAAAGAGCGTCTAGATTGGCAGGACGCTTTTCCGCAAAAGCACTTTTTGCGGAAAAGCTTCCATGGCCAATCTAGACGCGCTTTTCCGGAAAAAAGCCCCAATCACCATTTTCGCGATCGGGGCTTTTTTGCAGAAAACAACTCTCTGCTGTCTACACTGGCCCTTTTGCGCAAAAGTTTTTCGGAAAAAGACTTTTGCCCGAACGGGAGCAGCATAGTATTTCCGCAAAAGCACTGACAATCTTACATGAGATCGTCAGTGCTTTTGCGGAAATTCAAGCGGCCAGTGTAGACAGCTGGCAAGTTTTTCCGCAAAAGCAGATGATTTGGCAGAAAAACTTGCCAGTCTAGACACAGCCATAGTGTTTATGCTGTTTGGTTTATTTGTATATATAAGTGTGCTTGGCTCTGTGATATGAAGTTCATCGACTGGTTTGAGTTCATAAAGTTGTGTTCATCAAAGCCCTGGTCCACCCATCAGAATCAACTGAAAGACTCCCACTGACTTCAGTGGGGGATGGACTGAGCCCTAAGTTATTACATGGGTCATTCAGGGATATTTGGTATCAGGCAGAAAGTGGGGCTATCTCCATTTGCATGGCAATGCACCATTCTCTTCCAAGAGGTGTTGAAAACAGTCAATGTGCACATTGTCAGCACTAACTGTATGGGGTAACTATATGGGGAAACTAAGTTTAGTGCTTAAGTTTAGTAGTTTCCTCATATGGGGAAACTAAGTTTAGTGCTTTAGCAGTTCTACTCAGCACAGTGATTAGTTTAGCTAAAGAATACTAAATAAGCCTAACTAGTGAGCTTTCAATAAGCATTTCTTTATTTTTATTCAAATCCAAACAAGCCAGTAGTAGGCTAGAATCACTGCTACAACCTCTTTTCACTGTTCTGATGGTTAAAAGGGACCCCAAAAGCTGCATTAAAAAGCCCCCTAGAGAGTCCCTTTTATAGAGGGCGACTCCCTCTAAGTCAGTGGTCACCAACCAGTAGATCGGGATCTACTGGTAGATTTTGGAGCCTCTGACAGGTGATCTTGACTGGTTTGGCCAAGAGTCTATCAAGTGCAGCACTTCAGCTGCCTCCACCCCTACTGCTGCACATCTCCTGCCCTTTGCTTTGGAGCTGCCTCCACCCACCCCTGGGAGCCTCCTGCTTGCTGTGCAGGGCAGGGGAGGGAGAAGAGGGGTGCTGATGTCAAGGTGCCCCCCTCCCACCCTGTATCCTATCCCCACAGAACAGAGAGGGGACACAACAGGGCTTGGGCTGGAGGGAGGCTGCTGGCTGCTTTGGGGAGTGGTGCAGGGCCAGGGCAGGGGTGAGCCCTAGGAGCCACCTGAGGTAAGCAGTTCCGAGCTGCAGCCTACATCCTGAAATCATACCACAGTCATGAACCCCCTCCTGCACTCCATGCATCTGCCCTAGTGCCGGGCACCCCTGCATCCAAACACCCTCCTCAAGCCTGCACCTAGAACCCTCTAGTACCCCAACTGCCTGCCCCAAGCTCAGCTCAGAACCCCTCTCGCACTCCAAATCCCTTAGCCCAAGACCAGAGCCTGCACCCCAACCCTCTTCCCCAACCTGGTGAAAGTAAGGAAAGATAGGGAGGAAGGGAGGATGGAGTGATCAGGGGTGAACCTTGGAAAAGGGGCACAAAGGAGGCGGGGACAGGGTATTTGGGTTTCAGGTAGATCTTGGGTTGCACTTAAATTCAAAAAGTGATCTCGTGCTTTAAAAGATTGGAGACCACTGCTCTAAGTGATATAGAGCCAGCACAGAGCAGTGATGGGCAACCAAGGCTAGTGAGTGGGCTGCATGAGTGGCCCTCCTTCATTTCAGTGGGCTGCAAGATTGTTGTAATCATGCTAACTGTGCTTACATACCTACAATTTGCAGGGTGTGTTGATGGAACCACAGCAGCATTTTGTTTGGATTCAGAGGGAGCACATGCCTCTCACAACGTTACGTGCAAGCAGCCCGTGCCTCATTTCACATGCTCTTGCTTTACATGCATGTGTTTTTGTAATACCAGTAGAAGGAAAACTACGTAGACAAAAACCAGCAGACTTCTGGCAATCTTGTGCATGGGCAAGGGTAAACATATAGAACCCCAATGGGCCAAACGTGGCCCTTGGGACATAGGTTGCCCATCACTGACATAAAGGCACTAAGCCACTTCTCTCCTAGCTACTAACGTAAGGAATATGTCAGAGGGGAGGCATGACTTAAGAGTCATCTGTTCTGGATATGGCTGACAGAACAGCATCTTCAGGCCAAGGGCAACTGGGGAGGCTTATATAAGAGGAACTGAGGACCAGCCCCCAGATTAAGGAGCCACAAAAGTGGTATGAAGACCTCTTTGCCCCCTTCCCTCTTTGGTGAGTGCCACCCAGCTAGACCAGACATTCTGCGTGCACTATTTGGTCTGTACTTTTTTTTTTCACCCTGCCCCCATCCTCTCCACACTTGCCGCTGTTCTGTGCCAACCAAATTTTTATTTAAGGAAACGGGGATTGGATGTTGTGACTCGATGCTGGGGGTTTGCCACTGATGTCCCAACTGGAAAGGGAGGACAGCGCTCTGTGTCTTAAGGGGGGGCGGTCAGAAGGAAAGGGGAACAAGCTGAGCATGCAGACAAAGCAACAGGCTGCAGACCCTTCCTCAAACTGGTGCTGTGAGGAAACTGTGAGGTTAGTAGGAGCAAACGAGCTCCTGACATTGTGAATCAAGCTGTAAAAATAATGGAGAATTATTAGTAGAAAAATGTTTCTTAACAGTCTACCCAGGAAGAGATATAAACTTACAGGCAGGAGTGGTCCACTCAGTTTTGTTTTCACTACTGGTTGAGTTTTGAGTTGTTGCCCCTGTAAAAAGATCATTGTGATAAATGTGAGCGCCAAAAATACAACAGCAGTATAATTACCTTTGATTTGGTTTAAAGGCTCATTCTGGCACAGTGCTGCATTAGTTTGTGTGACTCACACACATTTGTAGGCCATCCAGCAGCAATTCCAGGCCCTTGGGCAGAGCAGCCAGTGGCCCCACGCACACACAAACTGCGCCCGTGTGGAATGTTCCCCTTGACATTTGGGCAATGCTGCACCTGCCGTGGTTGGTGTCCAGCAAGCTGCCAGCTGTGCTGCTGGAGCCCACTTTGCTGGGTTAGGGTTGCCAGGTGTCCGGTATTCACCCAGACAGTTCGTTATTTTTGCCTCCTGGCCGGTAAAAACACCACAAATGCGGACTATCTAAACTGATTACAAACTCCACAAGCTTTTTTTTTGCCTCAAATAATTTTTAAAATGTAACAGAAATTAGAAATATTGCACTCGTTCACAGTATTGGCTTGCAGTGTAGCAGAGGAATGCCAGTGCTGTCTTTAATGAGCAGCTCCAGGCTACTGCCAACTTTTTAATCACACACAATGGAACACCCTTCCTTCCCTCCCAGACCCGTCCCCTTTTCTGAGGCCACACCCCCTCACTCAGTTCCCCCTCCTCCACTTCTCACTCTCCCTCACCCTCACTCACTTTCACTGGGCTGGGGCAGGGGATTGGGGTGCAGGAGAGCATGAGGGCTCCAGGGTAGGACCATAAATAGGGGTTCAGAGTGCAGGAGGGGATGTGGGCTCCAGCTAGGATTGTGGGCTTTGCAGTGGGGTAGGGTTGCCAGGTGTCCGGTATTCACCCAGACAGTCCGGTATTTTCGTCTCCTGTTTGGTAAATTTTTCCTCAGCCAGGAGGCAAAAATGCCAGGCACCTGGCAACCCTACAAACACTGACTGCCTGACCTCCCTCCCCGCAAATTCCCAACACCCCCAGACACCGTGCTTGCCTGGTTCTGCAAGGCTGCAGACACAAAATGGCTGCCGACCAAGGGGAAGCAATGCTTCCCCTGGATCTTTGTGCTCAACCGCTCCCCTGTTCCTATCCCTGCACTCACTCTTAAAGGGGACATGCGGTTTTATTTTAATTTTTTTTTGCTTAAGTCTTGGAGTTCTTAATTTTTTAGCTCAACAACTTTGCCCCCCCCCCCTTTTTTTCCTTCAACAGAATTTTTTCCCGGTGTTTTTTGGGGGGGCTGGGGGTAGGGGGTGTTCGGTATTTTTGTTTCAACCATCTGGCAACCCTAGATGGCATAGCCAGGGCTTCCTCATGCTTGCCTGGTGTAATCATGCAAACCCAAAGATCCTTGCATCTCTGAGGCCCCAGCCCTGCTCACTCCATCCCCTGTCCCTCCATTGCTCGCTCTCCCCTACCTCACTCACTTTCACCAGGCTGGGGCAGGGGGTTGAGGTATGGGAGAGGGTGCAGGCTTGGACTCTAGGAGGGAGTTTGGGTGCAGGAGAGGGTGTGGGCTCTGGAAGAAGGTGCAGGCTCTGTGCTGGAGCAGGAGGCTGGGGTGCTGGAGGGGGTGCTTATCTCGGCACACCACTCAGGCAGTGATTACTAGACAGGGGACCAGCAGGGCTCTGCACACCACTGCCCACAGAACCCCCACAGATCCAACTGGCCACAGTTCTTGGCCAATAGGTGCTGCGGCATTGGCGCTCAGGGTAGGGGAAGCATGTGGAGACCCCCCTACCAGGAGCTGCAGTGATGTGCCATGCTGCACACTGCTCCCAGAAGTGGCTGGCAGTGAGAATGGGCAGGAAGACTGCCTTAGCCGTGCTGCAGTGACAGCAGCAACAGGAGCATCTGGGGGCTCCCAAACCCTTTTAAAGCACCTGGGCCCATGGGCAATTGCCGGCTTTGTCCCCCTTTTCCCTGCCATCAGCAGGCCTGCATATTTGGTTCCTCTCACTAAAAATACCCACGTACAACAATCTGATCTACACTAAAAAATTAGGTCAGCTAAACTATGTGGAAAAATCCACACCCATTAGCAGCATAGTCCCCTTGTAGATAGCACTAGATCAACAGAAGAATTCTCCTGTCAGCCTAACTGCTGCCTCTAGGGCTACGTCTAGACTTCAAGCCTCTCTCGAAAGAGGCTTTTTCGAAAGATACTTTCGAAAAAGCTTCTTTCGAAAAGAGCATCTAGACTACAATCAGTACTTTTGAAAAAGCAAGTTGCTTTTTCGAAAGAGAGCACCCAGGCAGTCTGGATGCTCTCTTTTGAAAAAGCACAGTTTGCATTAGATAGCACCTTTTTTCGAAAGAGCACTTTCGAGAAAAGGCGTTATTCCTTGTGAAATGAGGAGTACTGCCATCGAAAGAAAAGCCGCGTTCTTTCGATTTAATTTCGAAAGAACGGCTGTAGTCTAGACGCAGGTGAAGTTTTTTAAAACCCCACAGTCTAGACACAGCCTAGGGGAGGTGCATTGCCTATGTCGAGGGGAGACTTCTTCCCATCTGCATAGGCAGTGTCTACACTGAAGTGCTACAGAGGCGCAGCTGCAGCGCTGCGGTTGTCCCACTGTAGTGTTTTACAGTCCCATCTGTCTCTAAGCAAGGGAAGGTAGACCTGCAAAATATGGGCAGATAAAAATGCTTGTTTAAGCATCTCAAATCAATAACAGAATAAATGTGAAAATTACAGATTTAGTTTTGTTCTTAAAGTAGATGCTTATCTATTAATCCACACTGAATTGAAATATAAGGGGGAAATTGTGAAAAATGTTGACCTTTTTTTGTTTGAGAGTCATCATCTGTTTGAAAACATGCTGTTGACCTTTTAAAATTTGACGTGTGCTGACCAGCTCCACTTTATACTGCAATGCCAGTAGCTTTATAACAGTGGTTCCCAATCTTTTTTATACCGTGGACCAGCAAACCCATTCACAAACTTTTAGTGGACTCGTAACATTTTATTTGCATGTTTGCATATTTATTATGCAAATAATGAGTGTGCAAATAAAATGTTACCATTGCCAAAAGCCCTGGCCTCTAGAGCCCCCAGTGCCAGCCCTAACCCCTAGAGCCTTTTTATTCCCCAGCTGCTTTCTTGTCTCCTATCATCAGAATTGGGGAGACTTGTCGGCAGATATACTCTGTGTAGCCAGGGAGAAGTTCACACAGAAAATTGATATTTGCTACAAATTATTTTGGATGATTTACTGGAATGAATTAACTCACAGGGATGTGGGGAAAATTCCAGTGACGTCTTCACTGCCTGCCTGCCCTGATTCTGGCAAGAGCTTGTCTTCCCTGGATGTAGGGCTGCCAGATGGTTTAACCAAAAATACCAACCCCCCCAAAAAAGAGCCAGGAAAAAAATTCTGTTGAGAAAAAAAGGGGGAAGACCAAAGTTGTTGAGAAAAAAAAGGACCCCGACAGCAGTTATTAAGCAAAAAAAAAATAGTTTTTTAAATAAAAAATCAGCATGGCCCCTTTAAGAAGAGGCTTTTTTGCCAGCAACCATTTTGTTTTTCTGTTCCAGCCACAAGACAAGCCCCTGTGGAACAGTTATACGGGGGGTGGGAGGTGGGGCGGTTGCTGAGTGTGTCGTAGGGTTACCAGATGTCTGGTATTTTCGCCTCCTACCAGGGAAAATAAAACAGAAAATACCGGACATTTTAGGTGTCCCGTATTTTCTGAATTTTTTTACCAGACAGGAGGCGAAAATACCGGACTGTCCGGGTCAATACCGGACATCTGGCAATCCTACCTGTATTCTTTGGGACAGAGCTGCCCTAGCCCCAGCCGCTGGAGCTGCTGCAGCCTGCCACACAGCTCCTCCAGCCCCAGCTGCTATGCTGCTCCTCTGGCTCCAGCAACTGGAGTAGCAGCTTGCTACCCACCATGCAGCTCCTTCGGCCCCGGCCTCCAGAGCCGCTTCAGCCCAGCAGCCAGCAGTCCGCTTCAGCCCAGCAGCCAGCCAGTGGACTGCGGCCTGGCGGTTGGGAATCGCTGCTTTATAACAGTCAAAGTTGGAGGCAAAACTTTGTGCATATAAAACTGTTATAAGATTATAAATCAGTAACTGAACACTGGGTGATGTCTTGGATAAACTGACAGTCAAAAATCTTACAAGTGTGGCTCTCGCTCATACTCATCTCTTTCTCTGTAAGTGGGCTAAGTGCTGCTACATGGGATAGTAAAGTACTCCCAGTAGGTGTGTGGGTTATATTAGATAAATGAAAATCCCTTTATACCTGTAACTTTGGACTACATATTCATCCTGTTATTGATTCAGACTTTTAAGTGTGTGTTGTGTTTACAAAAGCTGTGTAGCCCTAACTTTGATGATCGGAAAGTTTTTAAAGGTATGTAATTTTTATTAGTTTATTTCCTAATATATTTATTGACTAACAGTCTCTTACCTGGGGAGGTAGGAAGCGGTGGGGTAGGTGTTGCTGGCCCACAAGGTACAGGTATAATAGCCTGGACAGTCAAATTCAGGCTGAAGTTTCCCTGCAGAGTGTAAGTGTGAGTTGAAATAGGGCTGTTAGATATAAATATGCCACTGCCATCTCCATAACCCCATGTGTAGGAGATAGCAGAATTGTTAAGATAGTGGCTGGGATCATGGATCTTGACATCAAATGTAATAGGTGAGTCCTTGATGAAGACAGAATCTGAGGCATTGCGGTCATTCTTCTGGGACAGGTTTACATATAAAGGAATCTTGTCTGCAGGAGAAATTAAAGCAAGTGAATCAGGTATGTACAGATGCAAATAACAGACTGATTCACAGCCCTCAGACTGCAAAGATCACAGTGTAAAACACAAGCCTGCATCATGTTAAGTGTCAGGCTTCATTTCTTTATTACGGGTTTCTTCTTCTCTAACTTGCTTTTTAATAATAAAATGAAACAAAGCAACCAGGGAGAGAGCCATGTACATCTAACGAAGACCCTATATTTATAGTAATCTAGAGGTTCCTGTCCCATTAATATTGTGATATACAGTACCTGCCAGTTAGCGCAACCTGATGCATGGAGAAAACAAAACCTTTGCTTTTCAATAGCATCTTTATCACATCAATTGTGTTTCTAAAGGACCTATTGTACTTTCCTCCCCCTTCCATCAATACAAAAGAGGAGAAAAAAACCTTGAAATGCTATTCGTTAAAGGGGGGAGGGGTTAGTGAATTTGGGTTAGGGGACATTTTCTGACATCATCCTGCAACCACTGGAGTCAATGACAAAACTCCTGTGGACTTCAATGGGGCCACCTGTGGTGAAAGATGCCACTCAACATGAGCAAGGGTGTTGGAACGTGGCCCTTCATGAATAAGACTCTTCCCATTTGCCATTGTTTTGTCTTCAACTGTCTAAATGAGAATGAGGTTTAGTGAGCAAGTTTCATATTCAGTGTGCAAGGATCAGACTATCTGTTCCAGTGGTGAAAAAATGATCGCTTGGTTGAACTGCTGCAGTGGGTGCTTTTAGGTTGATGTTGGTGAGGTACTTAAATTTAAGAAGCTTCAGGGGGTAGCCGAGTTAGTCTGTACAGGATAAACTTAAAAAAACAACAAATGGTCTGGTAGCACTTTATAGACTAAAAAACATGTATATGGTATCATGAGCTTTCGTGGGCATAGCCCACTTCTTCAGATGACTGGAGTTGACCGGTCATCTGAAGAAGTGGGCTGTGCCCACAAAAGCTCATGATACCATCTACATGTTTTGTTAGTCTATAAAGTGCTACCAGACAATTTGTTGTTTTTTAAGTTTAAATTTAAGAGACACCTGGGATGAAGGGATAGAACTTATCCCTGGGATAGGTTAGCCAGTCTCATCCAGAGACGAGTGATGAATTTCATCCAGAGAAAGGGTCAGAAAGTCCCTCCAATTTCTTTTCTTTGGAATTTTAGTACTACAGATGCATGTGGAATACAGACAGAATAAAGAACCATTTTGCATTATGTCCATAAATTTCAGCTTAGATTCAGATTCTGTATGAAAGATAAGTTAGTTTACATGCACCACAGATTTCTGCTGCTTATTCAAATATTTCAGAAAAAGAACCATAAGTAGACATTAATCCCAAATTTTATTTGGGACAAATCAATTCAGATGCTGTAACAGAGATAAACAGTATTCTCAATAAGCTTCTGGATAAATATCATTCGTATAATTCATTTCCATGCCTACTTATATATTTTTAGTGTTAATATCTGTACTCAAGGCCAAATTTTGCAACTATTTCTTAACAAGTCTGCTAAGGTGTTCAGGGTATTTACTAGACCCTATAATAACACATTATGGTTATTGTTGCTTGTGCAGTTTGCCCTGGGTATCTACTAGAAATTTCATATGAGAGTTAAAATCATCTGTTGTTCCAGTCCCTTCTTACATCCCTCCCCACTCTCCCAGATAGCACTTTAGTTGCATTTATGAAAAATCTTCACTACAAATACTGCCAAGTTGTGGTTTATTACAGAAGACTCACCTGTCACAACATAGATGACACTTGCTGTTGCAACTGGAACATATGTTCGATGACCTCTTCTGTAAACGGAGACCATCATCATCTGCTTGCCAAGGGTGATATTTGTTGTGTTGATGGAAACAAGTGCTGAAGAGCCTCCAGTTTTTTGGTAGTACTGGCCTGTGAACAGCACATGAACTCATATTTTCCTCTTGTGACCAGTGAGAAGTTTTATAAAAAGAAGCAGCATTTCTGTTAAATTGTTCTAAAACAAAAGTGTATTTCATGCTCATCCTTCGTTTGTGTGAAATGTACTTTTCAAGTACATTTCATGTCATTGTTATGTTCCCCGCCCTTAGGTTTTTTTCTGAGTTTCAGCAAAGCAGGCAAAAACATTAGAAACATGTGCCTGCTCCCGTGGATCCAAGAAAGGGCATTTGCCAAAAAACCTTCATCACTCCAATACAACTAAATTAGATTCATGCCTAAAATAATTTTTCAGTCAAATTTAAGAGCCTAAGATTAAGGGGCAAATTATGACACACTCTGCCACTGGAAGTCACAGCCATGAGAGGAACAGAACTGTACTCAGCCAGCTTAGGAGTGCTGAAGCAAAATGCACATTAAACCTTCTTTCCAGAGGTGAAAAAGCCAGTCTAAGGAGCTACAGGTACAAGATCATTCTTAAAAAGTCCCAGAGGGATAACTGTGTTAGTCTGTAACTTTAAAAACAACAAGTAGTCCTTTGGCACCTCAGAGACTAACAAAAATATATCATGAGCCTTTGTGAGCAAAACTCACTTCTTCAGATGACCTTGAGTGGAGAAAAAAGGAAGACTATTAGAATTTATAACAGAAAAAAGAAGGGAGAGGAAAAAATGTACCTAACAAGTACTGGTATATTGACTGGTACATTTTTTCCTCTCCCTTCTTTTTCTGTGATAAATTCTGATAGTCCCCCTTTTTTCTCCACTCAAGCTCATCTGAAGAAGTGGGTTTTGCTCACAAAAGCTCATAGAATACTAGAACTGGAAGAGACTTCGAGAGGTCATTAAGTCCAGTCCCCTGTCCTTACAGCGGGACCAAGCACCATCTAGATCATCCTTGATAGATGTCTATCCAAACTGCTCTTAAATATCTCCAGTGATGGAGATTTCACAACTTCCCTAGAAAATTTATTCCAGTGTTTAACCACCCTGATAGTTAAGAAGTTTTTCCGAATGTCCAACCTATACTTCCCTTGCTGCAGTTAAGCCCATTGCTTCTTATCCTATCATCAATGGCCAAAGAGTACAATTTTTCTCCCTCCTCCTTGTAACACCCTTTTAGATACTTGACAACTGCTATCACGTCCCCTCTCAGTCTTCTCTTTTCTAAAAGAAACAAGCCCAGTTCTTTCAGTCTTCCCTCATAGCTCATGTTTTTTAGACCTTTAATCATTTTTGTTGCTCTTCTCTCGACCTTCTCCAGTTTCTCCACATCTTTCTTGAAATGTGGTGCCCAGAACTGGATATAATACTCCAATTGAGGCCTAATCAGCACAGAGTAGAGTGGAAGAATTATTTCTCATGTCTTGCCCACAACACTCCTGTTAATGCATCCCAGAATCATGGTTTTTTTTGAAACAGTATCACACTGTTGACTTATGTTTAGCTTGTGGCACTATGACCCCTAAATCTCTTTCTGCAGTATTCCTTCCTACACAATCCCTTCCCATTCTATATGTGTGAAACTGATTGTTCTTTCTTAAGTGGAGTACTTTGCATTTGTCCTTATTAAACTTCATCCTATTTACCCTCATACCATTTCTCGAGTTTGTCCAGATCATTTTGAATTATGACCCTGTACTCCAAAGCACTTGCAGTCCCTCCCAGCATGGTATCATCTGCAAACTTAATAAGCGTATCCTCTATGCCAATATCTAAATCGTTGCTGAAGATATTGAACAGAACCAGTTCCAAAACTATGATACTAAATATATTTTTGTTAGGTGCCACAGGACTACTCAGTGTTTTTAAGATAACTGTGAAACTTCAGATTCTTACTTATTAGTGCTAATCACTAAATTATCTGGCTCTCCCACCCTCTTTGCCCTGAAGATTTCTTTTATATCTGAATTGCAATTGAGACAGAAGGTTTTTTTCAACAGTACATTTTCAGCCTTACAGAACATGTCATGGTAGTACATGACTTCCAAACCTCAGAGGAATTTAACAGAGCAGATGCTATTCTCACTGAGCAGCTTGGAATGTGTTTAGTATTCTCTCACTCAACAACTGCTGAATTCCTCTTTGGGAATTCTAATGCAAGGCATTTAGGGAAACAAGTTTGGACACAAAACCAAGATACATTTTACTGGACGCACCAAGTGTATGAAACAAATAGACAAAGTTCTTCCTTCTCCAGCCAGGATGATGAGGGAAAGGTCTCCCATCTGGGAACACATTATGGTTATTGTTGCTTGTGCAGTTTGCCCAGCCACAGTCATCAATCCACTTAGTCCAGTTGTAGACATACTGATCAGGAAAGTCTGAAGAATCTAGGTGTAGAAATAGATTATTAAGTGCCATATTTATTTATTTTTATGTGTTTTTATTTCAAAGTGGAATGTTTTCCCTTCTTTATTTCTGTGAAACTCATTTATGGGAACAGGGTGCCTCAAGCCTTGTCTACACTTACCAGGAGATTAGCGCTGTGGGGATCAATCTCCCAAGGGTCGATTTAGTGGGTTAGTAAATACCCGTTAATTTAATCGCTGATCGCACTCTTGTCAACTCTGGTACTCCACCGGATCAAGAAGCATAAGGGGAGTCAACAGGAGAATTTCTTCTGTTGACCACCCACAGTGGTGACGCCACAGTAACTCAGTCTAAGGTACATCAACTCCAACCACATTATTCACGTAGCTGGAGTTGTGTACATTAGTTCGACATTGCCCCCTAGTGTAGATCTGACACATCCATTAACTTATCTTTACAATGACTCAGCGAGGCAGGGAAAGGAAATATTATTTCAATTTCATAGTAGACACTAAGGCACCGCATGCTTAATGGCTTGCTCGAACTCACACAGGAAATCTGTGCTAAAGCTGGACACAGAATGCAGATATCCTGTGTTCCAGTCCAGTGCTTTAACCACAAGACCCATTTTTCCTGGCACAGTATGTAAGTGCAAGCTTACGTTGTGCCCCGAGAAACTGTCTGGACTATTGTACATAACTAAATAACATGGACTGGCTTATGAAAAGATGTGGGAACCACATGCCTATGGATGACTCATGAAGGAACAAGATTGAAGACTTGAGGCGCCAGTCCTGCTTGTACTGAAGTCAATGAAAAATACCTACTAACTTCAGTGGAAATAATCACACCCAAAGAATTTACACCACCAAAGCAGTGCATTAATTACCATGTAAGCCACAATATTGCATTTCAAGCACGTTTGTAAATATGGATGGGTGGAGAGGGCATTTCACTACATCCTAATTCCTCTTTTCTTTCTAATTATAAGCCCAGGTATTTAGTGCTTTCTGTGTTTTTATTCTGATGAAAACATTTAGCTGTTTCCAAGAATTCAGTTGGCTCCCAGGGAAGATGCCAATTTAAGTTGTTGCTCCAAATTCTGCTGCCAGCCCCATGGGAGCATGCAGTTTCATTGAGGTCAGTGGGGTTGCACCTGCATTCTGGACCAATGGGAGTTACAACCATGAACCTCAAAGTAGAATTTGGCTTGCTTCTTATTTTTCTTTCTTTCTTTTTGTCAGAAGAGCCAATTGTGTCATTTTAAATCAAGTGCCATGTAAACTACTAGCACCACTAGAATCCAAAAAATATGTTTCTTCCCTGGAAAAGCTCAAAATTAGTAAGCATGGGACAGGTACCTGACATGCTTGTATTAAACTGCAAAGTCAGTAGATGCTATGCTATTAAAATAGTGAATGACATCTCTTGCAAGAGAAGTAGAAAGTGTTATTTAATATATCTAGACATTGTAACAAATGTCTGTTTCTCTCAAACTGCAGCAAAAACACTGGGTTTGTGACCTTTATTTTCCTCATTAAATGAGGGGTATAAAAAGTTTTTTGTTCTAAAAAGATCTTTTTTCTTGCTTTTTTTTAAATTTTTGAAATATAAGGAACTAGCAGTTGAGGTCTATTGTTGACTAGGCAAAGTCATTTTGCATAGATTACACTTATAAGAAAGTTCAAGAAATTAAATATATGTAATAGTTTTTTTAGCAATGTGCTTGCAAAAGGGAAGTAAAATAACAGTTTTAAATTTGTGGGATTTGAACTTCAAACATTCTTCATTTTACTGAATAATTACCATACATAGTACATTTGAATCAGAAACTCTTAAAGCTTCCGTTACTCTTTGTGTAACTAATTTGAATTATTTTGAGATTTGTAACAGTAAACATTTTCTTTGCACCAAAATGACAGTTGAATAGGTGACTTGATTTTCAATTTTGTTAGCAAATATGTTTATGAACTCTAATCATAATAGTCAGGTCTTTTTTCTGATGAAAAACAAACATAATTATTTAAACCTTTCACCCAGCATATTACGGTGTAAAAATTAGTGCATTCAGCTAATTTAACTTGTTCATGCAAAATTTGGTATCTATAGTTCATTGCAAAGTATGATTTTATTTTGCACAAAGAAATCAACAAACAAACAAACTCTCTGAAATATATAATAGATAGATGTAAGATGTGTTCTTCCTTGGGAGGTAGCCATATAAAGATGTTTTTTAGTGAACTCTAAACTCTGTATTGAAGATTGTCAGGTTTATAAACTTGGTTAGAAAAACCCATGTTACTGATATAACATGCCTGTAGTCAGTCCAGCGATTGGCCAAACTTGCAAGCTGAGCTAAGCAGCAGTAGTTTTTCTGGGTTCCAGATTAAAACACTCCTTTTTGTAATGGGAGCAATCCATTTTAAAGTTCTTGGCCATTATATGTTGTGGGTGAAGATGGGTAAAAATAAGACAGTCGTCTTCTGAACAAGGTGCTTTTGTATGACACACAAATTATAGATTAATGTAGTGCTCAGCTTAACAGTGAGAGAACTATAACCTGGAAGCAGAATGCTGATGGTTTCAAGTGCTTGGGACACTTCCTTAGGCCACAAGTGCACCATGATCACCACCAGTAATATAAAGGTATAGTTGTTACCCACCATTCCTGCAGTTCCTGTCATATATTATGTTGCTGTCATTGTCTTCTTTCTGGCACCTGGGAAACTGTAGGATCACAGCAAAGGTCACATTTGATCCTACAAGAGCTGGGCTGTCAGAGGTCAGTCTGGCTTCCACCTTTCCTCCTAAAGAAATTGAAATGAGATTGTATTTCTACACCAGTCTCTTTTGAGTAGCTATTACTTACATCTGTGTACCATGTAAACAAGAACGTTTAAAATCAATCATACTACTCCTTTTAGAAAGGCTGCAAGAGACAGATCCCCGTTGTGTAAACTAGTATCCCTCTATTGGCTGCAAAAAGAGTTACACCTATTTATGCTTGCTGAGATGATCCTAAGTGTCTTTCTCTCTCTTCTTACAACATACTGTGCTGTGTAGTAGTCAACTTCCTGAAGACATCCTTTTGACCCTCCGTTTAACCAGGATGCTCTTAATATCTAACCAGAGCAACAAAATTATAAACTTTTTACTTCAATAGTTTGGAGATCAGTTGGAAATTATGAGTCTGAATTTTTTTAAAGTTCTAAGTGACTTCAGAGCACAAGTCTTGTGTACTTTTCATGGGACGTGTGAAACTCACTTTGCTTTTCAAAAATCCAACCCATACCAATAAATTAGACTTAGTGGACCAGATTCTAAGCTAGTGTAAATCAGTGTAGCTTCATTGCAATGAACTGAAGTCCACAATTCTCTAAACATCCCCCTACTATAAACTAGAAGCTGGGATGTCAAAGCACATTTGTACACAAAAGAAGCAACATATTCCAGAGGACAGCTCTTTTGTCTCTAACAGACGGGGTAGCCTTTAGTCCTGGACTCATAGCCTGTGGGAATAAAACAGTGCCATGCAATGTCCGGGTTCTTCATAGAAAGCGTTGACCTGATCCAGTGACACTCCTTTGGAGTAGAAGATGAAGATCCCAGGCACTTTTCACAAAGAACAGGGGATTTTCCCAGTGTCCTGGCTAATGTTCTTTCCAGGTTTCAATATCGGAGGCAGTGAATTATTACCGAACAGATTTTGTAAGCCATGGGTGCTTCCTCAGACAATGTATTAAGTATTAGTATCTAGCCCATTATTGTACAGAGCAACTTTGGGATACATACAGAACAAAGCATACTATCGATAACTTTCTATTTCTATTCTATTTCTGGGTAAATTTCTCAGCGTTTTAGGGTTGTATATCTAGACTTACCTCTCCAGCAGTTGTTCCATCTAGGATCTCCCTTTTCCCAAAAAGGATAAAGCTTTTCATTCCACTGATTTTGATCAGGAAACCAGCCATGTAATTTCTTATGAGACCTAACATGAGAAGAAGATCTCCCATGGCTCATCACATCGTGAAACTCTAGATAGAAATATAAGCAACATAAAACATTAATATTACCACCGCTCCATTCCATAATACTATATTCTGGAACTGAATGCAAAACTCTTAATCAATGAACATGCTTGGAACTTTATCATTATAAACAAAAATTATGTTTTCAAGTCTATTGACAATGGAAATTTCTCTGAATTTAGGCTATGAGCATTTCATCCTTTCCTTCCTTTAGGACATGTACAAGTTATATGAAAGGGTACTGGCAGTGATAAAAATCACACGGATGAATATTTCCAATCCTATCCCTTGCTCATTTATATTTTCTCAGAAGTTTCACAAATATTTTCAGTGTATTATAAACCAAAAAAGTTATATGTAAAAATGTTGACAGGTGATTATTTAAAAAAAAAAAACCAAAAAAGTTATATGTAAAAATGTTGACTGGTGATTATTTAAAAGAAAATAGTCAATGTAATAGTGAGCTATTAAGCCCCAGTTCTGCAATGATTTCTACACAAGTGGACCTATGCATCCATTAACGTCCATGGGTATACCTATGAACACAGGGACCTGCCTACATGGAATGCTTTGCAGGACTGGGGCTCTATTTAGTCTGATGTTACTGTTATGGACATAAAAGCACAAGCATTTGGGGACAAAATCAGAAAGGCTAAGACATTGTTATGGACATAAAAGCACAAGCATTTTGGGACAAAATCAGAAAGGCTAAGACACAAGGCTAGAAAGGACATAAAATATAAGTGTGTCTATAAACTTTAGGTGAAAGGGACAGCTGGAAGAAAATGTAGGCCTATTACTTAGCGGGGAAGGAGAGCTACTAATGGACAACACTAAGAAGGCTGAGCTGTTTTGCTTCAGTCTTAACTAAAAACATAGTTGTGACCAGCTGCTTAACACAATTAATATAAAGACCTAGCAGGTGAGGCTTGTCGTTGACCGGGCAAATTCATTTAGCGTAGATTACACTTATAAGAAAGTTCAAGAAATTAAATATAAGTAATAGATTTTTTTATTAATGTGCTTGAAAAAGGGAAGTAAAAGAACAGTTTTACATTTGTAGGATTTCAGCTTCAAACATTCTTCATTTTATTGAATAATAACCATACATAGTACATTTGAATCAAAAACTTGTAAAGCTTCCATTACTCTTTGCGTAACTAATTTAAATGATTTTGTGATTTGTAACAGTAAACATTTTTTCACTAAAATGACAGTTGAATAGGTGACTTGATTTTCAATTTTGTTAGCAAATATTTTTTATGAACTCTAACTATAATAGCCATGACTTTTTTTTCTGATGAAAACAAAACAAAACAAAACAAAAAAATCTTTCACCCAGTATATTCCAGTGTAAAAAGTAGTACATTCAGCTAATTTAAGAGGCAGGATTGTTTATGCAAAATTTGGTATCTGTAGGTAATCACGAAGTATGACTTTATTTTGCACAAACAAATCCACAAACAAACAAACTCTTCCAAATATATAATAGATAGGGCAGGAACATAAGCCAGAATAAAGAAAGAGCCAGGTTAAAGAATATTTAGGTAAATATGACTTCAAGTTGGCAGGGCCTGTTGAAATTCACCCTTAGGGTGCTGAAAAAATTAGTGGAACCATTAGTGATTATCTTCAAGAACAGGACAGGTGGGGTCCCGGAAGACTAGAGAAGGCAAGCACCGTACCTATCTTTAAAAATGGGAACAAAAAGGACCACAGGAATTAATACTTGTCAGACTAGTTTCAATACCTGGAAAGATCCCAGAACAAATTATTGAAAAATCAGTTTACAGGATAATAAAGTGATAAGTATTAGCCATCATGAATTGTCACGAATGAATCATGTCAGACCAACCTAATTTGCTTCTTCAACATGGTTACTGGCCTACTGAATAGAAGGGAAGCCATAAATATGATATATCTTGATTTTAGTAAGGCTTTTAACACAGCTCTACATTACATTCACATAAGCAAACTAGGAAAACGTAGACTAGAGGAAATTACTATCAGGTGGGTTGCACAAATGGTTGAAAAACATACGCAAAGAGTAATTATTAATGGTTCACTGTCAAATTGGGAGGTAATATCTAGTGTGAACATAAGAACGGCCATACTGGGTCAGACCAAAGGTCCATCTAGCCCAGTATCCTGTCTGCCGACAGTGGCCAGCACCAGGTGCCCCAGAGAGGGTGGACCGAAGACAACGATCAAGCGATTTGTCTCCTGCCATCCCTCTCCAGCCTCTGACAAACAGAGGCCAAGGACACCATTTTATCCTCTGGCTAATAGCCTTTTATGGACCTAACCTCCATGAAATTATCCAGCTTCTCTTTAAACTCTGTTATAGTCCTAGCCTTCACAGCCTCCTCTGGCAAGGAGTTCCACAGGTTGATTACACACTGTGTGAAGAAGAACTTTCTTTTATTAGTTTTAAACCTGCTCCCCATTAATTTAATTTGGTGTCCTCTAATTCTTCTATTTAGGGAACTAATAAATAACTTTTCTTTATCAGCCCTCTCCACACCACTCATGATTTTATATACCTCGATCATATCCCCCTCAGTCTCCTCTTTTCTAAACTGAAAAGTCCCAGTCCCTTTAACCTCTCCTCATATGGGACCCGTTCCAAACCCCTAATCATTTTAGTTGCCCTTTTCTGAACCCTTTCCAAGGCCAAAATATCTTTTTTGAGGTGAGGAGACCACATCTGTACACAGTATTCAAGATGTGGGCGTACCATAGTTTTATACAGGGGCAGTAAGATATTCTGGGTCTTATTTTCTATCCCTTTCCTAATAATTCCTAGCATCCTATTTGCCTTTTTGACCGCCGCTGCACACTGCGTGGAAGTTCTCAGAGAACTGTCCACGATAACACCAAGATCTCTTTCCTGATTTGTCGTAGCTAAATTAGCCCCCATCATACTGTACGTATAGTTGGGGTTATTTTTCCCGATGTTCATTACTTTACACTTATCCACATTAAATTTCATTTGCCATTTTGTTGGCCAGTCACTCAGTTTGGTGAGATCTTCTTGGAGTCCCTCACATTCTGCTTCTGTCTTGACTATCCTAAACAGTTTTGTATCATTTCTATGGTTTCACAGGGGTCTGTCCAAGGTCTAGTAGTATTCAATATTCAAATTAATGACTTGGACAATAGAATGGTATGCGTCTAAAATTCATCCATGATGCTAAGGTGGGAGGGGTAGCAAGCTCTTTGGAGGACAGGATTAAAATTCAATATGACCTTGATAAATTGGAGAACTGGTCTCCTAGCACTGATCGTGGCCCTGCCTCCTCAGCCATTCCACCCACCCCCGCCAGGCTTCCGCATGCAACCAGCTGAGGGCTCCCAGTGGGAGCAGGTAATTAATTTCCTCCCCTGCTGCCCCATCCTCTTTGGGAAGTGTAAATTGCTTCACCCCTTTTCATATCTTTATGCACCCTCTCCACGCCACTCATGCTTTTCATAGAATCATAGAATAATAGGACTGGAAGGGACCTCGAGAGGTCATCGAGTCCAGCCCCCCGCCCTCAAGGCAGGATCAAGCTCTGTCTACACCATCCCTGACAGATGTCTATCTAACCTGTTCTTAAATATCTCCAGAGAGGGAGATTCCACCACCTCCCTTGGCAATTTATTCCAATATTTGACCACCCTGACAGTTAGGAATTTTTTCCTAATGTCCAATCTAAACCTCCCCTGCTGCACTTTAAGCCCATTACTCCTTGTCCTGTCCTCAGAAACCAAGAGGAACAAATTTTCTCCTTCCTCCTTGTGACACCCTTTTAGATATTTGAAAACCGCTATCATGTCCCCCCTTAATCTTCTTTTTTCCAAACTAAACAAGCCCAGTTCATGAAGCCTGGCTTCATAGGTCATGTTCTCTAAACCTTTAATCATTCTTGTTGCTCTTCTCTGTACCCTTTCCAATTTCTCCACATCTTTCTTGAAATGTGGCGCCCAGAACTGGACACAGTACTCCAGCTGAGGCCTAACTAGTGCAGAGTAGAGCGGCAGAATGACTTCACGAGTTTTGCTTACAACACACCTGTTGATACAACCTAGAATCATATTTGCTTTTTTTGCAACAGCATCACACTGTTGACTCATATTCAACTTGTGGTCCACTATGACCCCTAGATCCCTTTCCGCCATGCTCCTTCCTAGACAGTCGCTTCCCATCTTGTATGTATGGAACTGATTGTTCCTTCCTAAGTGGAGCACTTTGCATTTCTCTTTATTAAACCTCATCCTGTTTACCTCTGACCATTTCTCTAACTTGCTAAGGTCATTTTGAATTATGTCCCTATCCTCCAAAGAAGTTGCAACCCCACCCAGTTTGGTATCATCTGCAAACTTAATAAGCGTACTCTCTATCCCAATATCTACATCATTGATGAAGATATTGAACAGTACGGGTCCCAAAACAGACCCTTGCGGAACTCCACTTGTTATCCCTTTCCAGCAGGATTTAGCACCGTTAACAACAACTCTCTGACTACGGTTATCCAGCCAATTATGCACCCACCTTATCGTGGCCCTATCTAAGTTATATTTGCCTAGTTTATCAATAAGAATATCATGCGAGACCGTATCAAATGCCTTACTAAAGTCTAGGTATATGACATCCACCGCTTCTCCCTTATCCACAAGGCTCGTTATCTTATCAAAGAAAGCTATCAGATTAGTTTGGCATGACTTGTTCTTCACAAACCCATGCTGGCTATTCCCTATCACTTTATTACCTTCCAAGTGTTTGCATATGATTTCCTTAATTACCTGCTCCATTATCTTCCCTGGGACAGATGTTAAACTGACCGGTCTGTAGTTTCCTGGGTTGTTCTTATTCCCCTTTTTATAGATGGGTACAATATTTGCCCTTTTCCAGTCTTCTGGAATCTCCCCTGTCTTCCATGATTTTTCAAAGATCATAGCTAAAGGCTCAGATACCTCCTCTATCAGCTCCTTGAGTATCCTGGGATGCATTTCATCAGGACCTG